GTACAATATGCTTTTAGAAAATTACTTTGTTTAATATGTATGCCAGAAACGAAAAATGATCAGTGAAACCACCGCACAAGAAAAAAGGTGGGCTACTTTTTCAGTCAAATTGATGTAATCTATTTATGAACGTATCTCATCAGTCTACAGTAACTTGAAAATTCTTACAGATGCTTAAGAGCCATATCTGAGCGGAAAAATCCAAGAGGAATTTCACCAGAGAACTTATTCTCCCCAAGATGACTGCATGCAGATCAAAATACTGTTAGATTACCATCAATAAATAGTAAGATTAGGAAGCATCAGAAAACCTGCACCAAAGACTCGTACAAGTGCTTGGCCTTTAACAGGTTATCCAGGCCAGGCGTAGTCTTGTTGGAAACTGGTAGGTTTCCATCCAGCTGGTTGTCAGTTAGATCAAGCCAAACAAGTTTCTCAAGATTACCAATGGAATGTGGTATTGGTCCACTGAAGTGATTGGAATTGAGAAACCTAGTGATGATCAAATAAATTTAAGTCAGAAGCAGATGTAATATTAATGAATTGACCAACAAGGATTTCTCATAGATTTTGGTATTCAGCAATGAAGAAGGGCAATAGCCAACATATGGAGCATGAAGCTGTATTCCACTGAGGCAACAACAATTTAAAGATAATGATAGACATCATCCTCAATTTACCTTGAAAGAAGAGGTGAGCTGATTTTCTCCACCAAATTGGGGGGGGGGGGGTGGGGGGGGGAAACAATACAGACAACAGATAAAAGCCTTACAAACGCTGGAGATGTAGGAGGGATCCAATTGATTCAGGAATTGGGCCAAATAAATTACAGCCTGAAAGAACACTACATCAAGAAAACACAGTAAGGTTAATCTGTTTAAAAGTTAGCAAGATGGTTTTTACAATGTTAATAGAAGAAATTTCTTACAGCCGTTGTAATTTCTTCAGACTGCCAATATTTGATGGAAGCAGGCCAGTTAGACCTCTGTTGTTGGATAGATCTCTACATACAGAAATCAAAGAGTAAACTTTAACACGATACAGAACTATAAGCACTATAGAAGAAAGCCAAGAGGAAAACGACGTGTGTGTTGCAGCACCAAGTGTCTTTGGGGTATTGAGCACATTATCATTTTGATTAAGAAAATAACAAAAAAAAAAAACTGAAGTTTGCTAGATTGTAGATGGTAAACTGAAGTTTTAGACAATATATGGTAAATGTTGTTTACTGCTATTTTAACCTACACTATCTAAAGCCAAAAACTCCCCTTCTTAATTGAAAAAACGATGTTGAATTTGCCAAGTAGTCATATGTCTAGGTGCTCTATAAATTGGTAATACTAGAATATGATGGGTTTCTGGAAAATCAAGACATGCTGAATAAATTCCCATGGAGTTATCCATAAGACAACAAGAATGAGAGTGCGAGCATTATCAACATTATATAATTACAACTTACAGTCTCTGCAGCTCAGACAAAGAAACAATATCTTCAGGCAATGGACCACTCAGATTTGTACCTGATAATAAGCTGCAATATTAAGTATGAATAAAAGCTCAGTTTGCATTTGGCAAAGCTAGTATCCAGAAATTGACCAAAAATAACAGATTGAAAGTTGTAGAAGAACACTTTATCAGCAGACTAACATAGCAATCACACGCGAACCATTGCAGAAAATACCATCCCATCTTTTACCACATGGATCATGCCCAACCCAGTTGGGAGGCATATTTTTCCATTGTCTCTTGAGATTTTCCAACACAGCCACTGCATCAGCACAATTCATGAAGTTAGAAATTGGATTTGACAAGAGAACAGGAATGCTCTGAAAACATCACATTAAACTACTACTTGTAAAAGAAAACAGAAAGTCTTGAATATAGACATGCACACGGTCCAACTGATATAGAGGATTCTCACGTAAAAGGATCCACAATACTAAGGGCCTCTCTGGAATTGTCCACAGATGGCACTCTCTTAACACAGAGTCTTAAGAGCCAGATATATAATTATCATTGAAATGACACAGCATGAAATTTCAAGAATGAATGGAATCCTTCAAATTAAGGCTAGATGTAAATCAACTCCATCATAGTTCACGGAAGCATCAGAAGTCGTCTCGAATTGAATCAACCTCATCAATGTTAAAGACCAATGCAACATTGACCAAAATGGAGCTAAATTAAAGAGTGCAGCCACAAATAAAACTAGGCAAGATGATTCAAGAGCTACTTACAATCTCTTGAATTTGTTTTTGCTGATAAAACCCAGCATTGTAAGAATATGAGCAGAAGATAGACCAGAATTCTGTAATTCATGACTAAATTTTTTGAAAGAAATTGACAATGGTAATCAATTCAATAATCTGGGCACCCCAATTATCAGAATCATTCAATTTTAAAATATACAAGTAGTTTACATAGAATTTAAATTAAATTAAAATATATTAGTGGGTGTCAATTCATTTGCAGAAAAATTAATGTGATAATCAGACAGACTAATGGGTGTCAATTTATTTGCAGAAAAGTCAACGTGAAGAACAAATAAACTTGTAGAAGATGCAGTTTATAAAATTCGAAGAAAATGGCATAACCCAATTAATCACGAGTAATAATCTGGACCACATTAATCATCTGAACCATTCAAATTAAGAAATGGGTTTACTAGGAATTAATAATTAGAAAAAATGAAAGTTTACCAGTAGAGAAAGTGGCAGAGACATTCTTTTGATGTCCACTCCCATTGTTGATGAAGTCTCACTGTCTGAGTCTTCAAGTTCTATGTGCGGGCATTCACGGGTGAAATGTTAACAACTTGGATTTTGGATTCTCTATCTTTTGGGCTTTCATCACTTCTGATTTTGGTTGGAAATGGAAAATAATTGGCCCATGTATTAGGCTATTAGACTAGGTTAATTAGATTAAGTTACGTGTCACGCACGGTTTTTACAAAATTTTATATCGAATTATAATGTTGATTCAAAATCTACCAAAAAATAATCTTCATATTTTTAAATGAAATTGAAAGAGTTTGAATCTTAATTTATACCTAAAATTGAGCCTCGAATCCGGATTAGCCCAAAGGGTTAACCAAATAGAACACCAAAAAAAAAAAAAAAAAAGTAAAAGATGTAGAATAATAATTTATACAATAAAAATATGGAAAATATGTGAATATTTTTTTAAGAATAAATCACAATTATATGATTTGGTGAATATTTTTTTAAGGAAGTGAATCACAATTATATAAAGAAATGAATATTTTTTTTTTTTAGAAAGTGAATAAAAAAACCAAAGAAAAATAGTTTTGGAGGGAAAAAAAAGCACTAAGAACTGTCATGTGTCATTCTTAGTGTTTGTTTTAGTATTATGTTATTGATTGATTGATTAGTATTTCAATTCCGAACGGACCGACCCTTACTAATGTTAAATTTTATACGAGTATATAAGTATAATGTCAGCTAATGATTGAATCGCGTGTACATCACTCTCCATAATCTCTATAAAAAAAGATTGATTTCTTCTGTTTCCAACATTTTAAATAATATATTGAGTAATAATTATTCATGTCAGACACATTGAAATTTAACAAGTCTTAGGGAAATAGGGTCTCAAATAGCGCGTCACTTTTATCCGTAGTTCAATTAAACCATGAATAAGTCCAGATTAAAATATACTTGATACAAAATTGATGTAGCCAAATCGGGTCAAATGAGGATTGTCCAAGAAATTATGTATGTTACGATTTTTCTGTCCATTTAATTATATGTGGTATCTTGATAAACAACTCCTTATATTATTGTCCTTAATTATTTTACAAAACTCCATTTATAATTTCACCCTCCTGAAGTTTGTGTTATCAAATAAACTTGTTTTTATACTTCGCAAAAATTTGCTCATGTTAATTCGCAAAAAGTACTGCGCATTACAAACAAATGTCAAATTTTGTTTAATTTCGAAAATTCAACTTAAATCAACCTTAATACTCCAATGAACATCCCATGCATCCACTACACATCACCTTACCCACCTCAGGTTACTCCTCCACTAACTTCTGAGTTCTGACATCACTAAAAGACAAAATAAAAGGTTTGGCAGCTGCCCCTACTACTAACTGATAAGAATATACATAGCACCAGCATTAACTGCAGCATATTAGCAATTAGCATGCCTCTATAGGAGCTGAGATTATATATTTATATGTGTGCTCTTCTTATAAGTAAATTGAACAAATGTACTGATAAAGCTCGATTATGAATAAACTCATTTTATATTCGTTCTTAATAAAACGGATCATACGTAAACCTACTAAATAAATTGGATTTTATTAGATCAAAAAATTTGGACTCCATCGAAAGTTATATAGGGTTCGCGTGTCTACATTTTATGATTGCATGCTAGAATAGTACAATTTGTTTTTATATACACCCCCAAATTTATATGAAATACATCATAAGACAATTAACCAAAATGGTAAGAAAATTAGATGATTATTTAAAAAGACTCACGAAGAAATTTGATTATTTAAAAAAGTCACGAGCCCATAATGGCATTTTAGCCAAAAAAAATTGTCCGAGTATTGTTGAATCTCACGCGTGTATGTATATCACTTTAACTCTTTTACTCGTAGCATTTTCATTTACTTATCTCACATTTTTCAACCAATTTCCTTCCATTAAACAAGAAGTTTAACCCCCTATCTCTTTTTCTTTCCCTTATATGAGTATTTATTTGTGTGATCTAATTCAGTCATATTGGTCAAATATTTTCAAATCATTTTAAATCACACAAATATCATCATGTTTTTTTCATTTACCAAATTATTAACAATTTTTTAAAAGGATATTTCATTGTTTCCTCTATTGAAAAATGCAAAAAACTATTAACGGATTTAATAATAGGCTTATTTTGTGAAAAAAAATCCTCTTTTCCTAACATGCAGTGATGCAGTACATAAGGAGCTCGGTAAAAATAATTAAGCAAAATCAATTCAACAGCTAGTCATTGTTTTACCAACTTTACACGAGAGAAACATTCAACTTAATGACAAACTTTTAGGCACTTCAAATGCTAGGCAAACTCATCCAATTTAAAAACATACTTATCCAAATTTATACATAAACCATAATAATAGTAGTAGTGTTGATTTAGCAACATATTTAATGTTTCATGCCATAAACTTCACCAAAACTAAAATAGTAGAGACATAGTTCTACAGAAATTACGTTTAAACCAGAGTATTACTAGTAGTGTCCTCTAGTAAAACTTCATTACTATTATGCTAAAAACTCAACCAAAGTCCTTTCATTTAATTGATCCGATTGGCTCCTTTTGCTAAGAAAACCTTCTTAGCCCTCAACTGTAGCATAAATTTAATACATACATCATTAGAATTAATCGATTACATGAAAATAAAACAAATAATTCGTATAATAATTATGAACATTAGTGATATTATATTAGTACCTCATTGGAGTGTCCACACTTCTTCTTGCGACAGTTTGTAGCCCTCAGTGGCAGACGAGCATAGCACCTGAAGATTATCATTTAACAAATTAAATGCAGTTTGATACTTATATTATATACTTCGTACTCGAATTTAATTAAACAAAGAGATTGAATTAATAAGATTATTGCGGATAGAATTAGATTTGATGCATACTTGCGGCAAATCTTCTTGTCTTGATTATACTGACGAGCCAACACCACCATACTCGGGTTGAATTTGTGAAAGTTTCCGTAGCCTCCTCCCCTCAACCTCAGCAACAAGTGAAGTGTTGATTCTACAATTTTTAATTTTGTTCAAAATCAACATCATTAATCATTATTAACCACAACAATACCAACAATAAGATTATTTGTAACAGAGCAAGTCAGAGATGTTAACAAAAAAAAAAATATTTAACAACACTTTTGATAGATTTTATGGAAAATGAAGAACAAAAATTGTGTTGAACAATCAACACTGATAAAAGAGGAAGGAACTTGTTTTTGCAAAAACAGCCAACAAAAATTTGCGATTAAATCAAGAAATTGTTTGACGATTAGAAAGTTCCTTCAAAATAAACAGAATTGGATTTCAAAAACTAAAAAGGAAAACAGAGTGTTTTGAGATAAGAGTAAGAGAAATACAATGAAAACAAAAAAACAAACAAAACAAACAAAACAGAGAGATGAAAACATGTAAAAACAATGGAATAAAGTATCAACAACAAATATCAAGTTGTTTCAAGAATATGAGAAATGGCGACATGGCGTTAAAACAGAGTAAGTATAGCAACGCAATAACAAATACAGATTTCATCCAAAAAATATTATAATGACGCATAAATAACTTTATTATCATCATCAACGCCACAAACAGCAAGGAAGAACGATATTCTGGAAAGAGAGAGAAAACCAGAGTAAAAGAGAAGGTAAACCTTTGAGAATGTTGTAGTCAGCAATAGTGCGGTCATCTTGAAGCTGCTTCCCACCGAAAATCAGACGCTGCTGCTCTGGAATTATTCCTTCAAAAACAAACACAAAAATGCAAAGATTAAAACAAATACATTTTTCTGTGTGAAAACTGAAAATCGACGTAAAATCTTGAAGAACAGAGTGAAATCAGTGAAATGTATCAAAATCAGTAGGAGTAAAAACTTCAAAAATAACACAAAAAAACTCATAATTTCAAGTAAAATACAAGTTGTAATCTCGAAAAACGTTGTGAAATCAGCCAAAAAAAAAAAAAAAAAAAAAAAGAAATAAGAGAAGAGAAACCTTGTTTGAGGTGGATCTTGGACTTGAGAGTGGTAATGGAGTCGCTGGGTTCGACCTCAAGGGTGGTAGTCTTACCAGTGAGTGTTTTCACAAATATCTGCATTTTTGTTCTCTCTTTTTGGCTTGGTTTGTTGAAGAAACTTTGTAATGAAATTTTAGAAACTGTAAGTTTGAGGAGTGATAATGGGTTGTATTTATAGTGAAGATCCCTAGGTTTTCCCCTTTCTGGGATGAAGGGAGGGGTAATGACACGTTGACACCTGTCCTAAAATTTTGTTGATTGGCTGCATGAAATAAAAATTAAAATGTGGAAAATAAAATTAGGTAAAACACTAAAACCTCTCCCCAAGCCATCTGTTTTTTTATTTCCCACCATTTTTTGGATTTCATTTTTATGCAGGTATTTTTTTTCTTTTGTAAAGGTATTATGGTCTTTACATTATCCATAATCTCTATACTGGTAGTGAAATTATTTTTTGAAAGCAATTTTCTAAAAGTGAATTATGCGGTGTAAACATGCTTTAATTCATGTGTTTGGTGTTGTTTTAGGGGTAAAAATCAGTAAATGGAAAAATTTGTTAGGACTTAGGAGACGAGTCCATTTGCATGCCATTAACAATGCTTGGGCTCGGCACAGCTTGGCTAATGAGAACATCATCACCCGGTGCAGCGGTGCTTACAGCCCTTATCTGGGTTGATTTTCTGTCTTTATTCTTTCAAACTGAATGGGGAAATCAGACTCGATCCATGCACTATAAGTCCTATAAATGCTGCTTTATTGTGTATGTATATGTATATATGTACAAATAAAACAGTACCACCTCATTTTATGTACACAATAATAACCTATCAAAATTCAAAAAAAATAATGTAGTCAGAAAAGTCTACTACACTCCAACACAAAGATCAATCAGAGTGAAGCAGAGAACAGATAGAGAATTTGTACAGAGAATTCTCTCATTTTATAAACGGGCTGCTCATTCTGCTATCCATGGAGCCATAGCTGTTATAAGGATAACCACTATCTCTTGTTACATCAAAGCTGGCAGAGGTGGTAGTTGATTCAACATCGTAGTTCATATTACTTGCTTCAATTATACTCTCGATCTCTTTCACCACTTCATTCATTGAAGGTCGCTCATCTCCCGTATCTTGAAGACACTTCATAGCAAGATTCACAAATTCATCCGTGTCAATCAGAATGTCTGAACGAAGGGCAGGGTCCACAAGGTTGTATACGCTCCCAGTCTCCTTCAATGAATCCCTTACTACTCTGACAATGTATGTGTGTTTCTCCAATGGCAACTTTCCAGTAACAAGCTCCAGCATCACTACTCCAAAACTATAGATATCACTCTTCTCAGTTAATATTTGGGTCATATAGTATTCTGGATCCAAGTACCCCTGCATGACATTATATCAAATGATCAAAACAACTGGTGCAACATAAACATGACTTATGAATTTCACTCCTCACCCATCTTCCTTCTCTCATCCGTCTCATATATACCAAACTTAGCAAAGATAATTGCATAGGCGTCAAGGACTAACCAGAGTTCCTTTAACTTGGGTGGCCACCTGACCCTTATCATCACTGAAAGGTATTGACAGACCAAAATCTGCCACTTTCGCATTCAAGTGATCAGTCAGCAGGATATTGTCTGATTTAATGTCCCTGTGTATGATGGGTGGGTCAGCAAGCTCATGCAAGTATGCCAGACCTCTAGCTGCACCTAGGGCAATATTTAGCCTGCGTGTCCAATCTAACCGGACTCCAGATTTCCCTGCAATTAAATCATCAGGATCTAAAAGCTTCACCCAAGATAATCTAAAGGAAGCATCACTGTCTTTAAAGGGTAATCAGAAGTCAAAATGACTGTTCAAATTATTGAAGGGCTGACAATCAAAGATTATTGAGAAATAAATTGTTTGGGATAGAGGTTCATACTTCATATTTTTAATTGAGTGAAATTATACCTGAAAGAGCTGCCCTCAAGCTCCCATTTGGAACATATTCATAAATCAGCATCTGTTCACCTTTATCATAACAGAAGCCAACTAGATTGACAACATTCTTGTGGTGAACCCTTGATAAGAGTTCAATCTCAGTTTTGAACTCCAATGCCCCCTGCATTGATCCCTTCTGAGCTCTTTTGATCGCTACAAGTTCTCCAGTGCCAAGTTTCCCCTTGTAAACCTGCCAAAGTAAAAATGATGATTCTACTGGTTTGATGAAACCATCTTCCTATATGTAGTACTTGAGTACTTGCAGGTTGAAAGATGTTCAGGGTTCAATTTCCTATGCTTTGGGAAATAGAAGTTCACATATTGCAATCAAAGTATTATGATGCAGTCTAACCAATTCATATTTCCATAATAGAGTATCCCATAATTTTTTAGAATATGTTGAAAGACATTAATAACTCAGAGTCTCAGATCATTATGCCTAGATTTCACAATTTATATTTAATATGAAAAGGAGATACAATGTAATATGAACTCTTGCAACCATATGGAAAGACATATTCTTTCTTTTGTGATAGTATTATAAATTCAATAATTGTTACAAGCATATATGAAATCCCAATAGACATTCCCAATGCTGTGAAGAACTAACCAAATAGACCAGTATAACGCAATGACCAAAGAAATTTATTAAATGGAAGTGTACAGAGATCCTACTCATTTTCATCACAAGCTATGCCAATCCATATGAGGTTTTCCAACATAAATGAAGATGACAATTATCAAGACAACCAGAAAAGGAAAACTGGGGGATTACTAAATTTACCTTCCCATAACCCCCAACTCCAATCTCACTTTCAGAAGAAAAATCACTGGTGCACTGTCTAACATCTTCAAATGAGAACCATCTGGCTCCCTTCACTTGAGGAATGTTACCTTTGTTCCAGGATACTGTGTTTACATAAGAATCAAGGACAACTAGTTACATGAATCCAAAATAAGACACAGGGATTAACTTAACAAGTTAACAGCTTATCATTGATGGCTGATCTTACAGAAAGGATTGTTTAATTTAGCAGCTCTCTGGGCTATTTTCATTTGACGATAGGCATAAACTCCAGCAGCAATTGTTAGCACCAAAAGCACAAAGCCACTCACTGTTACTCCTATAATAAGAGCAGTGTTCCTGGTTCGTCCTGTAGTATTATCATTTGAGCAAGGAAACTAAAATTTCTAAGAGAATAATCCTCCAATTAAAAAAAATATAATTTGTAATTACCTGGAAAGGTATAAGGCTTATCAATATAGTAATATGGTCCATATGGCGAGTCAAAAACATGATTGTTGAGGACATTCCCAACTAAAGATATTCCTGTTCGATTGAAGTACTCATCACCAGGAGGAAAGAATGATATGTTCAATACAAGGTACCCGTTTGTATCTATCATTGAACTCACCAAACACACTCTATCTATTGAAACTTGGGGTGATAGAAGAGGTTGCAAAGTGTCTCTTAGAAAGTCGTAGTAGCGCATGTTTGCCAGATCAGAAAAGTTGAATGATCTGAATACCAGGTTACCAAGGTAAGGACGTTTGCAATCAGATGGAAGTATTGGGTCTGAAAAACAAGTTGGAGGAGAACATTTAAGTAGTGGTATAAAGTTTAAATATTTTGAAGGCTGGACAGTAGTGCAGTTTCCTTCAGCTTCTGGCCTCAGACAAAAAGGATTTTCATCAAGCCTGGAGAAAGTGTACAATGTTCAATTAAATCTTAGGACAAAAAATATAGTACTCTGTAATGTCTATCATGTAACAAAATTATCAGAATTGTAAGGTAAAAGCGAACCATATAAAGGATGGAAGGAGTAGAGACAAAATGCTTACAGAATGCTCTTGTTGTATACTCCGGAACTAAAGCCATCTATGGAATTATTCCGCAAATCCAAATGGCGGAGATTCATGCTGACATTAGCTGGAATTTCTACAGTGCCATTTAGCTGGTTATTATTTAGTACCCTATGGTCCAATATGAAAGTTCATCAGCCAAATTAATTTAAGAGCACAATAAAACAAAGTACTTTTAGAAAAAGAGAAAATCTGAAAGAAGAAAGAAAGGAAAGGGAAATCGTACAAAGTCTGTATTTGAGGTAAGTTGAACAGGGTTGATGATATATTCCCTTCAAGACTAGTGTTTGCCATCAATCTGCAAATTCATAGCCAATGGATTAGCAATGCATGACAATTTGCCAACAATAATGTAGATGTCTTGCCAATTATTGTACTGATATTGCATCCATGGTCACAACATCCTTGAAGATACCATTAATGATGCAGGAAGAAAAAAGGGTCCACCAATTAATACTCCAGATCAGAGTGAATTCTTTGTATTGCAAAATCTAGAAAAGAAATGTGGTTGAGTCTCCAGAGATACTATTAAGCTGCCATTGCTTTGTATCTATAGGCCTTAGAATCCTCAAATCTGATTGTATCTCTCACGGCCTTACGATGAAGAAATCCGTATCCCATTCAAACTGATTGATTACAAAGGAGCCAAAAGACAATAGGATTATTCAGTCTTTTGAAGGAAAATACAGCTTTTTCTTTGCTGCTTCAAGGCCTTCCTTTTGCTGAAAAGTTCTACCTTTTTATGAATAGAAACACCATGATAAATAATAACACCTGCTCTAATGGGTACATGCATATTCCCGTCACCTATTCCCAACTCATATTTTTCTCAGCTTTCAACAATGACAATTCTACCATCATTCATTCCTGTAAATCAGAATTTTACCCATACCACACCTAGTGCCTCTGATACTGCTCGTGTTCAAGATTGGTGCAGGTTTAATCATTTCTACACAACATTACGAGCTCCAATGCTAAGGGTGTGTTTGCAACTAGACCTCGGTGTCAAGGTATGTATATATTGGTCAGTTGATTCACAAGAATTGAAAAACTAAGGATAGCTCATTAACATTAGTGATTTAGACAGCACTAATTCAAAGCTTAAAAGTTTTCTCTCCAGTAATATAATTTAATTGGGCAAAAAGTTATACGATCATGATGCGCCCAATCATATGGCCATTCCTTGTGTATCCTCTACATCAAAATGATCCCAATATCTCTATTAAGCTATGCCTTCTCATGGAACGGGAGAGGGGGTCAGATGAAACTTAGAAGTTAGAACTACCCAATTAAGATACACGTATGAATTTTGTGTTTTCAACATTTATAAAGCCTACTTACACCCATTATTTCTAACTGTGTAAACATGTCTAACTAATTAATTTATTTTATCATTGTTTCCACTTCCTTAACTTATAATCATATCACACATTTAAAATCAACCCCAGATCATGAGAAATCAAAATACAGAAGGAGGGGTGGGGGGGCAGAGAAACTCACAATGTAGTTAAATTTGGTAACTCCTCAACCCACTGAGGAACAGACGCTGCATCAAACTTATTATTACTCAAGTCTCTGCAAAACATAGGGGGCAATCAACTAAAATTCACAAGGCAGAATAATAGCGGATAGCTTCAGATTTTTTTTTTTTTTTGTAATAAGCTGTATCTTGATGATGATGCTAACAATGATATGTCAAGCTATCAACAGTTCGGATATTGCTGCTACTCACACAAATGTAAGGAGAGTCATTCTTGTTAGGTCAGGGATTGGCCCACTCAAATTGTTGTTTGCCAAGTAGCTGTAATACAGTCCCATCAAAAATAATTATGGACATAATCAATATGGATTCGAACTCCTAAATCATGACGTAAAGAGAGTAATAAAAAAAATGTCGAACTACTTACAGCTCACTCACATTAGTGAGCATACTCAAATTTTGGGGCACAGAACCACTCAAGGAGTTCCTGTCCAAACGACTGCAAGCCAGAGAAAAGTTAGTTACCCTGAAATGGTGTTAGTTCTTTCCAGTAAACTACACTAACAAAGATCTAACATGTACTCACATTACTGTTAAATTCCGTACAAGCCCCAATGTTTCTGGAATACTTCCATTGAGCTGGTTTTCATTTAAAATGCTGTTCAAGTCATTAAGAAAGTCAATAATTTGTGAAGTGTAAGAGCAGCAAGAAATTTTCTCCATAAATCTATGATTAGGCAAATTATTGACTTGATAAGGCTGCCAGTTCACAATGGTCTTAATATGCCAGCTTATCTGTAAAAATGTAATGTCATAAGGACATCTATTCGTTAATTCATTACTAATGGGTAAATCATGTGGAATTGTAATTTGGAAATACCACTCCACAAGCTTTACAAGATTAGTCTTGTCTACATAGACTGAAATCAGGGACTAGCATCACTTGTGTAACAGATTGGGATTTGAGATAAAAGAACTAAGAGCATAAAAGGCAATGAATAAGATTGATCACAAAAATTTGATGCAATCTTCAAGCATTTGAGAGGCTTGATACACACCCAAAATACATACTAATTTGCTCCATGATTTATTTTGCTCTACTCTCCTCTTTATACATATAAGTCTGACTTCCTTTCCCTCTCTCACCTCTAACTAATCCTCAGCTTTCTCCACAGCCATTCCCCACAGTACTCTTTGCTTTAGCTGCGTCGTGACAAGTTTCACATTCCATCCTGGAGTGTCCCAAAATGATGATCTCTTTAGGTTTTTATGTAATCTTCTTGCTCTAAATATTTCTTTACAAATCCTTAGCAGTAGGCTATTTCTTATATAACAAAGTGTTTCTAAACAAGTTATTTACAAGTAAAATCTACTTGTGGAAGAGGTCCCTGAATGTACATATTGCATATAGTGATATAGTAAAATTCAGATATCAATCTCAGAACTTACACATGTATCAGAGACATCCCTGAGCTGAAAAGTTCACGTGGAATTTCACCTGAGAACTTATTACGTCCAAGATGACTGCACAAAGAACATATAGTTATTGCTATACGGAAGGAGAGAATATTGGTAAGAAGTAGACTCTGCTGCAAAGAAAGCATACAAGTGCTTGGCCTTAAGAAGCTTATCCAGGCCACTTGTAGTCGTGTTGGAAACTGGTAATGTTCCATCAAGCTGGTTTTCACTAAGATCAAGCCAGACGAGATTTGTGAGGTTACCAACAGAACGTGGTATGTTTCCACTGAAGTGATTCATATTCAGAAACCTGTGAAGGTTTCACATAACCCGGGTTAGATAGGGGATCAAGTAGGGTTGCTCATAGTAAGCTAGTCAAGGGTTGCTCATAGTAAGCTAGTCAATCATTTTCCAATAGGATATAATAGGAAGATTGGGAAAAAAATCAGAAAGGAGGGGGAAGGGGGGATGTGGAGACACTTACAAATGAGTAAGTTTCCGAAGAGTTACAATAGACTCTGGAATCGGGCCAGAGAAATTACAGCCCACAAGTACACTGCAATAAAAGAAGGCAATGAGAAATCATTTTTTTTTTTTTTTCAATTTTGTTGAAAAAAAAAAGTCAGACATACAATAATTTACATGGTTGAAGAAAAGAGAAATTCCTTACAGGTGTACTAAATTTTGCAGATACCCAATATTTGACGGAAGAGGGCCTGTCAGACCTCTATTGTTCGATAGATCCCTATATAAGAAGGACGTATCATTTAAAAGAGGGATCAGTATAATAGCTAACAGAGAATACCTAATACCCAGTTTCCCAATCTAAATTATAGCAATTCACCATTCATACCAATCTCATACTAGAACACTTTGAAAATATCAATATGAATTATGATTCTTTCATTTGGTACGAAATGTCTCAAGTAATCTTTCCAAGCAAATCACTAATTATTCACAATCAACAATCATTCTGAAAGAGAAGAGAAAAAGTCTAGTTGCATAAGTTTCATAAAACTTACAAAGTCTGTAGTTCAGATAATGACAAGATATCTTCAGGAAAAGGACCTGCTAAATTTATGCCGGGTAGTATACTGCAATGTTAAACAAATTGAATTAGTAGGTAAATGGGCCATATTTATCAAGCAACATACTTATTAATCAAGCAACATAATTATTACAACAGATTCACAGTTTATAAGAAGTCAAAACAATACTCACATGCTAATCACACGTGAATCATTACAGTAAATACCCTCCCATTTCCGACCACATGGATCACCTTTGACCCAATTGGGTGGTGTCTTTTGCCATTGTTTCTTGACAGATCTCAAAGCATCCACTGCATAAGATATCAAATAAGTATATATATCGATACAATAAGAAAGATGATAGCATAAACCATGTAAAAGAAACTTTAAAAAACTTTGCTGAGAAGATATCCTCTCATGCAATGCAACAATCAAAAGTGTCTCTTCAAATACCAATTCAATGAAAGCTGAGGTAGTCCAGTATGAAATATAAGTGTCACAGAGCAACTTCGGGTTCTAATCATAGAAACAACAAACATAGGAAAGCCATCTAAAGGAATGGATATGTATCTAGCATAGTAAAGTGTAGAGTTAAGCTGATCTTTAGGAATGCTGTCGTAGATTTATTACTTCGTACTCTATTAGCTAGAATCTGTAGTCTTATGAGCTGCTAATAGTTTTCAGCTCAATTCTGAAAACTTTTCCAAATAATCTAGCAATAAATTGACTAGGATTTATGCTATATGACGGTTTCAAGAAGAAGATCCAAAGCTATAACACAATTCAGTTCTATTCAGCCTATTAGTAGCACCTTCAGAACTGAATCAACAATAATCAACTACCAACCAATAAAGAAAGTTGAAAGGCCTCATAACCCAAGCAAGATATCATCTATATCAGGGTATGGAAGTAAATAGTTCCACAAACAAGATCACATTAAAATACAGCTCCTGATAACAAAAGCGATCATGACAACTACAGATGAATTGACCGTGCATGCAACTAAGCAAGAACAAGCATGCTTTGAAATGCATCCTTCTTCTTAAAAATCCACTCAACAGGCTTAATAGTGAGCAACTCGAACCCTAACTTTTCAAGCATGTAATTTATCAAAAGACCAAAAAGCCACAAACAAAATCACAACAATTACAACTTATCATAATGGAGAGACACTACTCACAAGCATGTAATTTATCAAAAGACCAAAAAGCCACAAACAAAATCACAACAATTACAACTTATCATAATGGAGAGACACTACTCATTAGTTCTCAACACCATGTAAAGAGCAAGCAAGGATGCAAAATCACAAGTTTGCAATCAAAACTTACGGTCAGCAGGATCTGTTTTTGCTATTACAACACAACAACATGAGAATAAAAGCAGCAAATACACCAATATGCCTGAATTCATAACTCCAGGTTGCCTATTTTTCCCTACTTTCTCCTCTCAACAATCAACATACACAACAAATTTCTATTGCCAATTAGTAATTTAAAAGCGCTCGAAATAATCAGTAAAAACAAAGTAGGCAAACTAATGATAATTCTTTCTTTATTTATAAGTAATTAATTATTAATTATTATCCAATGCCAACCACCCTAAAGAAATTACAGAAAGGAACATGAAAAAAGATTAAAACTGACTTTGTCCAAGTCAAAAGCTCAAAACCCATATCCAGAATTATTCAATACCAAATGGGTTTTACTCAGATTATTAAAAAAAAAAAAAAAAAAAAAAAAAACTATGAAGGTGATGTAATCTTTGATAAATCAATAAACATAGTCAAATTATCTCAGATATTCAATTTATTTTTAATTATTTAATGGTAATGACGACGGGACAATTTGACAACTATCAACTCAGTGTTAACATTAAAATGAAAACATGGAAAGTGAGTAAATCGTGGGGTGAAGCGTGGTTTGAAATTGTAGAAACATATATACCTGAAAATCTGAAGCACGGGAAAAGGGAAGAAGATGAAGAAAGACATTATGTCAGCTGCCTTGAGCCCCATGACTCTTTCTCCTAATCAAGAAAAATCTTTTGCTTGAAACCGTTAAGGCACGTAGATGAGGGAGGAAGCCCCAATTTATGAAGCCCCGTCTATAACATGAATCAAATGACATTTTTGTGGATAAATCAACCATTTTATCTAGTCAATTTTATCAATAACATGGATTAAATAAAATAAATAAAAAAATATTGACTTTCCCTTCAAAAAGCTCTCAACTTGTATTTTCTCTATAAAATGTTATGGAGTATTATATCAATTAGTATGTCAATATGAAATTGTACGGAATAAATAGTCATAGGGAAAATAATTTTTAAATTAAGGATGACATAAGAGTCCATTAATCACCACTTACCATCATAAATGATAAAATAAATTGGTAGAAAGGTTATACAAGAAGTTGTCAAATCAACAAGTATATATGTTGGTTAATGGTTTTAGTTTTACACTTTTTCATGATGGTATACGATAATACGAAACTTACAATCAAACCTCATTAACAGGGGTATCTAGACTATTTTAGTTGATAAAAAAAAAAAAAAAAAAAAAAAAAAAAAAAAAGCTAGCAAGTGACAATTTCGTATATAAATCAACAACGTTTCATAAAATGTGAGTCCCCACAATTATTAATTTTATTACCAAGATGTCAGGCAGAATGCCAATTTTTTTTTTTTTTTTTTTTTTTGGTGTTTAAAGAGTAAAAAAGACGGATGATGAGAATTAATCCCAAGATCTTTTAAAACTAGGAGGAAAGTTTTAATTATTTAAGGTATCCCTCACTCCGAGATTTTTTTTTGTTGATTTATTACAAATTTGCTTTCGCAAACCTCAAATGTGAGTTATGTCACATTGTCACTGCTTAAAGCTAAAAGGCGGATGATGATAATCAATCCAAAGATCTCTTGAGAGGAAAGCTTTAATTATTTAAGTTATACCTCACTCTCGAGATTTTTTTTGTTGATTTATTACAAATTTGCTTCAAACCTCAAATGTGAAGTATGTCACATTGTCACTACTTAAAGCCTAAAAAAAAAAAAAAAAAAAATTAAAAAAAAATTTAAAAAAAAAGTATAGAGTATTATTTACTCTGTATTTAAAATTAAAGAAAAAAAAAATCCAAAAAGAAGCAAACACCAAAATTACCGTGAGAAATCCACAAAGGAGAAAATCCAAAACTTACCCAATAAGACGCCGTTGATACTGTTATCAATTTTTTGGCGGGAACCATTTCCCGCCAAAATTCACCCCACTCCCCTCACAAATATAATGCACACCACTTTTCCAGAGTTCCCACATTTTCCCCTGCTCCCACAATCAACCCTTTCTCTCTCTTCAACCTTCAAGATTTCAAGAAAATCCCCAATTCTTCAAGAAAAACCCTACAAAAATGTTTGAATTAAGGCTGGTACAAGGCAGTTTGTTGAAGAGGGTAATTGACGCCATTAAAGATCTTGTCAATGACGCCAATTTCGACTGTTCTTCCACCGGATTTTCTCTCCAAGCCATGGATTCTAGCCATGTCGCTCTTGTTGCTCTCCTCCTTCGGTCCGAGGGGTTCGAGCATTTCCGGTGCGACCGGACCTTTTCCATGGGTATGAGTATTGCTAATATGGCTAAGATGCTGAAATGTGCCTCCAATGATGATATTATTACCATTAAGGCTGATGACGGCACTGATACTGTCACCTTCATGTTCGAGAGCCCTTGTAAGTGTTACTACTTTTTATTAATTCAGCTTCTTTTTGTTTTAATTTTGGGTCTTAATTTATTTTTTTGGCTCATTGGGTTTTAATTGGATTAGGGTTTTGGGAATTGATAAATTGATTTAGGGTTTTTCTTGTATTACATTTTGGCGATTGTTATCCGGGAAATGACTTAATTTGCAATGGTAATTTTTAATTATTAATGGCAAATTGTATTGTATTAGGGTTTTGTTGCCTCTTGCATTCATTTCTGGAGTTAGTCTTTTATTGATTCTATGATAATGTATAGAGTGAGATAGATTTCATCTTATTATTGTGAGAAGAATCTTGGATGTCAAGTTTAACAATAATCTTCTGCTTGAATGATTATAGCTTTGGGGGTTAATCTCTAATTTTGCTATTCTAAACCATTTCTATACTAGTTGATTGTCTTAAGTTATTGGTCGATTCATCTACTATCGACTATCGTAGTTTCCAAAGTCATTATGTTTGAACTAGTTCCTGGAGTGTGTATCTTTGATCTTTGTCTGAATTTGTTGCTTTCGTTTGATTGTGTTATCACAACAATGTTGATCTTTATCAATTGTTTTGCATGTGTTTTACATAGGATGTATTTTGATTTTCTTTCTTGTTGTGTTGTACTGAAACAATTTGTACAATAAATTGCAATGATCATATGCTGTGATGGATGTGACTTTAAATGCAGTATCAGTGTCTTACTGCTACCTAAGTATCTCCACTTGCTAATATTTAATAGATTCATGACATGCATCACACATCTATGCTGTGTCTTGCTGTGACTACACTAAATGTAAAGTGTTTCTCTTGCTCACACTACTACCCGAAAAGTAATGTCTTTGGTGATCATACACTTTGATGTGCAGCACAAGATAAGATATCAGATATCGAAATGAAACTGATGGATATTGACAGCGATCACCTGGGGATCCCAGATGCCGAATATGATGCAATTGTTCGAATGCCATCATCGGAGTTTTCTAGTATTTGTTCAAGTCTTTCCTCGATTGGTGATACTGGTAAGATGGACTAGTTCCATGTGTATTTTACTAGTGGTGCTTTCTCCTACTGCCCTTCTCAAAAGAGGAAGGTTAGCTAATTTGTACCCACTTATGATTGCAGTTACTATCACTGTGTCAAAGCAAGGTGTAACTTTCTCTACGAAAGGTGACATTGGATCTGGAAACATTACCTGCAGACAGAATTCCTCAACAGAGAAGGTTGGTCCTTACTCATTTGCAAAAATTATTGTGATTTAGGCATTATCTAGGTCAATGAGGAAAGTGTTCTTGCTTATGGGATCTCATTATTTGGTTGTTGATTTGGCAGCCAGAGGAAGCCACCATCATTGAGATGAAAGAACCAGTTTGTTTGACATTTGCTCTCAAGTATATCACTACCTTCACCAAAGCAACCTCGCTGTCCAGCCAAGTGACCATTAGCTTATCCTCAGATATGCCAGTGGTGGTGGAATACAAGATCGCTGAAATGGGCCATGTCAGGTACTACCTGGCTCCTAAGATTGGAGAAGAAGAGTTAGAGACCAACCCTCAGCCTGAAACCAGGCCTAGAACACAGCCTCCTGCAATAAACCACACTAAAACCGAGGCTCAAGAAGCTGTGCCTCTGACTATAACGGGCAACAAGCAAGAATATGGAGAAGATGAAATTGTAGAAGGTTATGAAACTGTAGAAGATTCCCAGGTTAAGATGGAAACTGAAAGTGGAGCTGAAGTGAAACCTAAAGGGGAGAAAAAGCCAGTGAAGGCAGAATTAGTTACGGAGCAAGACTTCAAGATGGAAACTGATTCTGAGGCTGAGATTAAGCCTACGACAGAAGCAACCCAACCAAAGGCAGAAGTTGAAGTTATGGAACTGGAGTGATCTCTTTGAGCTGAATCACCTACCTTTATCTTGATCTCTTGAAACGTGTTCATAGTAGACTTAGTAGAGATTTTTGGCAGCATTTTATCTGGCTGGGAAGGTTTTTAGGACCGTTTTGGCATTTTATTTGATTTGATTTGATAATTCTTGGTCCTGAAACCATTTTGATGTAAATCGGTAATTGGTTAGATGTAGAAATTTAGGGCTTTCTTCCCAGAGTTCCCTTCACTTTTGTAGTTGCTGTGTGCTACCAGAAAAACAAGGAATTGTTGCAACAGGTTTCTATATAGAATGGTCTTTCTACTAGTACTATTTTTATTTGTTTTCCTGTTTCTATATTCTACCTATGATAAACAAAAATATAGAACATAGTTTGGCCTACCTTGGAACGGGTTGTCCATCCAAAGACATGAATTAAACAAACCATATAATTAGTACCTGTAAGGTAAGAAGAGCAAGATGAATCAAGACCTTGTAACGTAAACTATCTTCGTTTTTTTTAATAAAGTTGAAACATTTCCTGTTTGTGGATGATAATTGATTAAATTGAATATAAACCGACTGCTTTCTTGTTGAAAACTCGTGAAGCAGCAAGCTGTTTCTTGCCTTGATTAAAATAGTGCGCCCTTTGTTATTGCATGGAATTTACATCTATACCAAAACAAGCAATGGAAGAGTCGATAATCATGGACCAAAACACAAGCGAAAGGCAGGCAGACAAATATCCCAGCGATCAGACATAACAAACCTGGAGATCTTGATAGAATCACACCTTACTAGCAGATATACCAGCAAAATTTAAGAAATTTAACCGATAAATGTATTTCATTAATTACTCAATTTTGAACTGTTAAAAGGACAGACTGTATAGAGAATGCAATTCTACAACTTTTTGCTAAAAGAATACAAAATATTCCCCCCTCAGAACCCAATATAAGCAAGAATAAGAAACAGCAGTTGCTTATTGCCTTATAATTTCCTCTCTTTTTAACCCCTACATATTTAGTTGACTAACTCATCTGTGGTGTTGATATTACAAGCAAAAATCCATCCCCATAGACTTACAGGGGAGAATCTGAAATACAAATATGCTGAACCTTTGGCTCCAATTTCAAGTGTATTGTCAACCCTTCGCTTCGTGACGTCAATTATGTTCCTCGGAGGTAGGAATAATAAGAGCAAAACTATGTCCTATCACTTATCTCAACTCGTTCATTTGCTTCTTTTCTTTGCTTCACTATAAAGAATGACCCCAAGGACAGTGAGGGAATAACCAAGCATCCCGGTAATTGAGACAGGGTTTTTAAAGATCAAAATTGAGACGACAACAGCAACTGCTCCCTTAGCATTTCCAAGGACCTGGCATAATGAATAAAATTTTATTATTGAACTGTAATGGTATAATAAACAGACATAAACAGTCAACATCAAATCATATTGGAGGCCTAGGGCTGGTTGATTTGAAGGCTGAAGTTTGATTTTAAGTGCAAAACTGCAAATACCCACCTTTAAAAAAAAAGAATTAAAAAAAAAAAAAAAAAAAAAAAAAAACAACTAGAAACATAACTGTGGATTAACACAACAGAAGCTTATGAAGTTATGAGATACTGAACCTAAGCTAACTAATGACATTCATACATTTTAAAAGGAGATGCTTTATGGATGACAAGGTATTTTAGAGGCTAGGAAAGCTTTCTACTTCCAACACAGAATGGAAGTGCATATTAAGTGACATCCAAACAGAACAATTACCACCGAGGCAATGAATAATCTGCCAAAGTTATACTGGTTTACAAGGATGCAAACAGCAGACAAACACGACAATAGATAATCACCACAATACAAAAGTGTAATGTGATCATCAAACACTTTCTCATGAGCCATAATCCATTTCATGAGCAGATCAAGATCAGTAACTCGTAATATGCCATGAATATATTTTCTTAGCTCCTCTACCCACTTCCATGCTCCAATAACTATATCTACCAAAGGAGCCTCAAATACATCCACTTACAAAATAGAAATATCAAGCAAAGCTTAGGAATTGACTTTAGGGTCAAGGTTAATGCCCTCATTTCATCTGATGATGAAATAACCCATTATTCGCCAATAACATGATTTAAAACAAAAGAAAAGCCTATAAATGGAAGGAAAAAGGGAAAGATTCGCAAATAACATGAACAGACCACAGCTGCAGTGATCCAGAATTCACACAAGTAGATTTGTAAAATGCACTTGTATATAACATTTAGTTAGAACGTGAAATGATTTATTACCTAATTAACTACTACGTCTACGTGACAGTAATAAGAAGAATGGCAACACAAGTTACCTCTCTCATTTTCAAGAGCATAATAAAAGCTACAAAGATCACTAGGAAATTAAGCTAAGCATCTTTGTAGTTTTCATACTGCCTCTATTCCGACATGTCTCTACTCATACCCGTTATAACGATTGTTTTCAATCTTAACCAACCGATACATTGGTAAACATGAAAGAATTAAATTGGTATGGTTGCAGTGAGATCATAAATAACATACAGCAAGAGAACTCCTAAATGCAAACTTATTGATTCAATATTATCCATGCATTTTTAACTATCACAAGAGCACCTATACGTCTATTATAGTAGGCTTGCACCTCCAACAATGTTCATTCTCAAATCTAACAAGCTATGTAAGTTTTCTCATCATCTGTACATGAAAATAATTTAAATACTGTCCCAAACTATTATTTACTTAACATAACTGCAAATCAGACACCCACTTTGTTTGCAGCTCAGGTATGTTAAAACACACGCATGCATGAAGGGGCATGGTAAACAAAAAAATTACAGGCTCATAATATATGTTTAGATACTGTAGGTTCAGATCTCCAGGGAGTGGTTTTCAGAAAGAGAAAATAGGGTATTTAATCAAACTACACATGAAAGAATCTTCGTCCAGAAACAAAACATGAAAGTTCATGAACCAGTAACAACACAAGGAATCATATCGTAGCAACATGCAATCACACGATACAACATTCAATGGAAATAAAATCTCATTTGCATACCTGGAGAGTCAAAGCACTGGTATGTTTGGTGACCAGGAAGTTGGTCAGATTCACAAAGTACGCCAGAGAAGAATTGAACAATAGGTACCAGACAATCTTGACATCTTCCCTAGCAAGTGCCAGTGTAATACCAACCACATTTTCTTCCATGAACAGTGTTGCAGGGAGAAGGAAAACAACAGCTATGGGAGCCATATAAAGGAGGAGGTTCATAGAATTGAGCTTCTCCCTAAGCAAGCATAATAGATTATAATTAGCTCCAATGAACAAAACATACAATGACAAATGTGGAGCAAATGAGCAACTCGTCAACTATTATGAGAAAGAAAAAACTACAAAATAATGAAAAGGATATGCTCATTACCCTTCAGATGACAGCAAAATTCCCTGAACCACTGACTTAAGAGCTCTGGCAGCAGTTGCAGCAACACACATTAAAAACCCAAAAAGGTGGAAACTCGGTTCACTCTACAATAGTCAACAGCAACCAAAAATACATCAACCACTACTAAAATCCACAGCATCATCTATAAAGGGCAATCGGAACATCAAAACATTGAAAGGCAACCCCAATAGCCAAACATTACTACGAAACACAATCAGATCAATCAAAAACTAACATCTATTAATCTACATGTCACTTAATACCTTAAAAAATTAAGCAAATTCACCATCATTACAGTAAACCTACAGCTAATGCCTCCTCAACCTCCCAAATCAGATTTATTGATATTCAAACAAAACAATAAGCACCCCTAAGCAAATACATCAACTTCCTCCAGACATGAAAAGAAAATCAACCTAACACATCCAATTTCTGTTCTTTGATGACATATATATGTAATTTCCGGAAATTCAATATAACCTAAAGCCACAATCTTTACAGGACAAATCGAACAAATCAAAACACACCCCAAAAAAAACCCAATTCCAAAAATTCAACAGCAATTCGCAATAAACAGATACTGAAGTAAAAATAAGGAAATAAGAAGTTACCCCACTAGCAATAATAACTCCAGTAACAACAGGAACAAGGGTAGCATAAGTAAGCCAAGCCTCCCTCTTAAACGTCATAAGATAAGCAAAAACAGCAGTGAAGAAAGGCGTAGTTGCACCAATTGCTTGATTAAATGAAACAGGAAGATATTTCAATGAAATATTGCCACTAACAACAGAAGCACAGAAAATAAGACTAAGAGCTGCGATCTTGAAGAATTGAACTCGAGATCGGATAGTTTGCATTGGCACCATCTTCATCCAAGCTATAGCAATATAGCTCAGCAATGAACAAGCAGTCATATGACACATAGTAAGGAAGATCGGGTACTTGAACCCGTAATTGCTTAACAGATACTTGTTCAGCAATAATACCCCAATATTTGATGAATACCATGCTGTTACCAGCCCTATTGTGAAGAATCTGCTCGTCGTTTTCATCTTAATTTTCTTCTGAATTTTCGATACCTCGTATTATTGGTTAATTAACGCCAAGAAAAACGACGAACAAATTCAAAACCCTAGAAATTGTTTGTGGATCTTCAATTTTTTGCTAGAGATCTGACATTTTTGAGGGAATCGAAAATTCGAAAAGTGAATCGAATAGTACAGAGGCTTAATTGCTGTAATTGTACGAATCACATTAATCAAACAACCAATCAATCAAGTCAAAAATCCGAGGAGAGAGAAAATTGAAGAAATTGAAAATGGAGGATTTGAAATTTCGTAGGTTGAAGAAGACGACGAGTTTTCGGGTTAGTGAAATGGGAATGTGAGAAGAAGGTGAGGGTGGAGAGAGAAAGTTCGAAGGTGAAAACGCGTTGATTGTGTGTTTGTAGAGAGAGAAAGAGGAGAGAGATTGAAAGATACTCCGTATTAGCAATGGCGGATGATGGGTGAGTCGTCGGTCGTTTCTAATTTTATCAAAGTAAGAAGAAGAAAAAAAGATTTATTAGTAGAGTCGATTTCTGTTTCTAATTTTTGCTTATTTGTCCTTTACTCAATTACTCTACCTTTAATTTTTGGAAAATTATTGGTGATGAAAATTGAAAATCTATAAATTTGAAAACAGTTTAGAGTTGAGATAGTGAAGTTTAGTTTGTGTTCTCTAAGGATTTAAGGGTGTGAAATGGGGGCGAGTTTGTGGATATTGTGTCCCACGTCTGCTTCAATTAAGGTATAGAAACGAAAATGGGTATGGAAGATATAGCTAAAAGGAAAATTTAACAACAACAAACCAACTTTTGCTTCATTCTCTTGAAATGGACCAACCTTTAAATCTTTCCAAAATAAACAAAAGTTTGGATTTTTTTTCTCCCAAACTGAACCCAACAAGTCACCTTACTTGTTATACCGGGTAAAAAACCACATGTCATTAAATCATTGGTCAAGGTTTTTTTTTTCTTTTATTAATTTTGATAATTTTACAATAAAAAAAAAAAAAAAAAAAACCAAACCAAACACCCTTACACATGCCAGTCACCCCACTGCCGCCCACTAAGCCTGACCCCCCTGCCCCCGGCGTCGGTAGGTGCCCAGAATCTCCTCCTCCGGACTCCGGCGTCAACTATACCCACACCTTTATAACCTTCACCACCTCTTGCCATCAAAACCACCATCAACCCAACACCACCACTCCAAGGCGTCGAAAACCCATCCAACCCCCAAAACCCCAACAGTATTCCCGGAAAACATCACAAACTCTCAAAAAAAAAACCCTAAATTGACGAGGTTAATCGTTGAAGAAAATGGTAGATCGTGATAGAAATTAGGATTTAGTTGCTCGAATTTATTCTTGTGATTAAATTTGAACAACTAGTTTTTTTTTATATATATATTTTTTTATTTTGAGATGCCAGATTTGTGGGTAGGTAGGGTGCGTGGGGATGGGGAGTTTTCAGGGCTGGGGAGAGTTGTCAGGAGTTTTTCGGGTTGTGGTTGGGTTTTCGGGATGGTTAGGGGGTTTTTCTGGCGTGTCTAGAGAGTTTCGTGGTGGGTGGAGGTAAGAGTGGCCATGACAGGGTTGCATGTGGTGGATGTTGGTGGTGGTTGTATGGCAGTGAGGTGAGGGGGAGTGATTTTTTTTTTATAATTATTTTTTTAATTAAATTATTAATTTGAAAAGGGTAATTAAAGGTTTTTAATTTAAAAAAATAATTAAAGGAAAATTAAAAAAAAATGACCGGTTGTACAGATCACAGATCATTTGGGTTTATTTTGGGAGAAAAACATGCAAACTTGTGTTTATTTTGGGAAGATTTAAAAGTTTGTCCATTTTAGGAGAATGAGGCAAAAGTTGGTTTGTTGTTGTTAAATTATCCTAGATAAATTTGTAGAAAACAAATCGCACCCACTCGCTTCACCCTTGCATATTTAACAATGTCTTTGAATATAACTTGTATTTTTGTTTATAAATGATCTTTACAATTATATTTTCACATGTGATTCACCATTGTGATAAAGGAAGATTTGGTGTTGATCAATATTCAATAGTTGATTTGGTGTTGCATACTTGAATTTGGTGGGTGTTAGAAGCAATTGAGTGAGATGAGTAATGGATGGATAAGGTACTTATGCAATTCAGCATTTGGGTAAGGGAACAAGTATGAAAATTTAAAGAGTATAAGGATTTGATTATTTGAAAATCATCTTCTAACCCTGCTCTACGCGATAGACACCTCATTTTCACCAACAATACATAATTAACTTATAAAGATTAAAATACAAAATGATACGCTCATATAAAATTTAACTAAATGATTGATCTTAACTTGCCAACCAACAATACATAGTCTCAAGGTAATAGAAAGATCATCTCGTCGATAATTTAATTTTTTATTCATGAAAATTATTATAAATTCATCATACAAGATATATACATATCAACATCTACTTATTTTAAATTTCAATAAGTAACCCAACAAAATAACAATTCTTCAATAATTATTTAGAAATAAACACTTTGCAATTATTCTCACTGGTCAAGTTTTTATTTTTTGGGTGTGCACAATAAGAATGAATGAACTTCCACCAATCCACCATGATCTACCAAATATAATTTGACTATATCTAAAATATTGAACTGTAATAGCTAAGACATGTCAACATATGGTCTAATAGTATGTCTTTATATTGGAGTTAATATTATACTCCAACTCATTAAAAAATGTGAAAGTAATTATCTCATCATTCATTTATTATTTTAATTCTCAACATTATTTGAGTGACTCACCCAACTAACAAATGTGGAAAATTAACAATTTTTGGAGTCTTATTTAAGTACGTACCTTGACTAAAAAGTAGTCGCCTTGATTTTTTAAATTTCTACTATTCATCCACTATCAATTTATGGGTCTACTACCATGTGGATTTACAACTAAATTTTTGCTTTAGTGATATTTAACCTTATTTTTTGCAAAAATCATGTGATTGAAGATGATGATCCGCTCAATGTCATATGCACATTATATGTACCATAAAGAGGGAAATCAGTTTCGAACAATTCATATTTGTTTAGGTGTATGACCAATAAATACTGTAAACTATTCTAGATTTTTTGGCTCACGATAAGCACACAACTTTTAATTTTTTTTTTATTTTCTTTTTACTTTATATATAAAATATACTTCATCTGTTCCACAAATATTGTAATAAGGATGAAATTACGCATCCCAAAGCACGTTTTATATGTTATATATCTATAATTATATAAGAGTAAAAATTATAAAAAGTTGATATTGTGAAAATATTTTTGGTGACGAATCTAACAAGACCTCACATGACTATATTTTACATTACGTATAAATCATAATTTGTGGTCAAACAAGCATGATAAATAATACAAAAGTTCAGTTGTTGCAATATTACTAGAATGGAGGAAGTATAATGAAAGTCTATAATATTTTCTTATCATTACCTTTTTAGCAATAACATAAATTGTTAGTGGACCAACTCAAGCAAAAGCTTAACCTGATGGTTGAGGCTCAGGATCATGTTTTATACTCTATCACGCATCTTACACGAGAGCCCGTTGGGTTTAAAGTGTGGATGCAGTATGGGTCCACCTCATACTTTGCGCTTATTATTCCACGTTGAAAGAAGGGGTGGATGAGATTCGAACCCGTGATCTTTGTGTCACGCTGCCTCTTGATACCATGATAGAGTATAAAACATATTCCCAGGCTTCAACCATCAACTTAAGCTTTTGGTTGAGTTGGTCCTTTAACATGGTATCGGAGCCAGTGTGACACAAAAATCACAGATTCGAATCTCATCCACCAAGTGGGATATTAGGCCTCAACCATCAACTTAAGCTTAAGAAGTATTACAATAATACTTACTCAGTTGATTTTAACATAATTTTCTAAGACATTCAAATACTAGCGAGTTTTCCAGCCACTATAAACTCCTACCCGAAAATGAAATACAAGTATTTTCATTTTTTTTTTATGGTTGCTTTTATTTCCACTTTGTGATTTCGATGGTAAATGTTCAATTACACCATCAACTATGAAAGCATCAAATCACAATTGCACAAGATAAGCAAAAGGATTAGATTTGAAGTATGTTAAATAAATCGCTTTTTCAATTTGTTTGGTGAGTAGTAAAAACGATGATAATGACAAGTATATTGAAACCTAGAAGGCTGGAAAAAGGGATATAATCTATTAATCTAACTACTTATTACAATATATAAATTAACCAATTACCTACCTAGCTTTTCTAGTTTGTCATGAAAGATACCCATTAACTAACTTATAAACATATCAACATAGCCTTTTTGAAAGGTCAAGTTCTCATAAGGGTATAATTAGTGCGAAGGACTAGGAATATAAAATTTATAATTAGAAGGATGCAACTTGACCCTTCTTAAAATTAAATCAAGAAAAAACAGAAATTCGATACCAGGAACATGGCCATTGTCATATTGTGAATCATATACGTTTTCTCTCGCTTTCGGTTCACATGATTATAATTTATAAAGGCCATCTATGTACGTTTTCATGTAGTCCTTGGATTTTATATTTTAGAAGAAAAATAATGATGTGAACATGCCATATTGCCATTATTGACGTGAATGCAATATTGCAGGACTTGCACGGTGTAACAGACTATCAACTGGGCTAGGCATGATCACGCAAAATGCACGAATTATATTATCCCTCCATCAATTTTTATTGCTCCACAAAGGAATATTTTACTAAATAAGGCAACAGCACAATCTTAGGAATTTGGGGCAAACAAAAAGAGTACTGGATTTTTGCTCCCCATATAATAATGCTGATAGTGGGAGTGATTTCAGTTGCTCTTTTTTGTTGTGAGAAGTGCGACAGTTAATTTTGAAAGCGTTAAAACTACAGACTTAAGTTATTTTGGGCCTTGAAAACCAAACTCTGTTTTACATGTCACTCAAATACACATGCTACCGATCATAGTGCCATTGAAACACAATTGACACCATGAAGACGAGCAAATCTTCAGTTTTGAAATGAGACGCATATCTTGATATTGAACATAAGGTAATTACAAACTTACAGCCATAGAAGTACTCCCAATACAACTTACAACTCACAAGGCTTACTATATGCTCAGTGACCATGTTCAACTTTCACGACTCAAGTTTCTCAAGTTAGACGAGTTGACAAAATTGGGCCTGCAGGTCGACTTTAGGTCATCATTTTGACATGTGATAACGTGACATGCCATATCAATATAATCATAAAGATTAGACATTGGTTCATGTCACTTGGTCAGATCATTCTGAAATCAGACCAATAGATGAGTGCTCTAAAGTTCTACAGTACTTAATTGCTACACGCCTACATCCAAACACCCAACTTACAATTTAGAAGTAATCAACCAAAACCGGTAGCTTCAGCACAAAAACAGCAAGTATCAAAGAGAGACTATGTAGATCATCACAAAATGAAAAATTATGAATATTGTAATGCCAGAGAGGCAGCGAGATCATAAATGAGCAAGTAACTTCTTAACACCAGACAATCAGCAGTAGTATACTAAACATATCAGATTATAGATCCAAAATTTCAGGTGCCATGTAGATCTCAATACATTCTATTGCAAAAAAAGATGACCGGATAATAACACCATCTTACTACAAGTTAGAAATGTCAAGAAAATGGCTCTTCTTGGAATTTCACAGAATAGCTTTCCTCCAACAATTCCACACTTCATCTGTCATTATTGCTAGTTTCTGCAAGACAGTTGTATAGAAAATAGTTAGCCTACAGAATTTGTGATGTTTATCAGATGTAACTCACAAGAGAGAGTTCAAAATGCAAGAATCTATCAAAAGATCATACCACACAATAGTTTGTTCATCTAGTTATAAATAATAAACAACTGGAATATCATGTTAACACAGAAAAGGCTAAAATATTCAAAAGTGAAGATATAAAAAAAATTCAAATAGGTACAGATCAAGAAAGATGGGAGTAGAAAGCAAGCCAAGGTTTCACAAACAGTCATCCTCTAAACATCCAAGAAGGTTAGCATAATACCAAATAAAACTAGTCAAACAACAATAGCATTTCAGATACACCTCTATATAGTATAACTTGTTAATTCACAATGCAAAAGATTACATCAGCATTCCATGACTTCTTTACTAATTCTGACTTGTGGAAGTGTGTTTCAGAAAGCCTGTTAGCTTTTTTAAAACAATGAACAATGGTTTGTAACTAGAGTCACTTTAGTGCCACCACTCTTTCTATTAGGTTAACCAAATAAAATAAAATTCAAGAGCTTCTATACCCTTAGAAGAGAACATAGTCCAATACACTTCCACAGGTTAACCAATAAAAAAATTCAAGAGGTTCAACAACCTTACAATGATATGTTACCCTCTTTACTACTACTATCCATAGGCACAACATTGCTCATCAACCAAAATGATAATTATCATTTCAACCCTTGTTATAACCATCCTGGCTTAGAAATGTCTGAATTTCCGACTGTAAACAACAATTACAATTGAAGGGCAAAACAGCTCACTATTCCCATGCAACTCAAAATCATATAACATAGAATCAGCATTCTGTAATTTCAATTAATGACACTCCCATGATATTAAGCTCCAAAGTCCTAAAATAAAACATCAGGATTTCTACTAAACTACGAAATGGCATCTCACTCTATCTCAAACAGGATTAAATGGTACATCTCATATGTCCAAGTACTTGACGCAAGCTTAGCACTTAATCAGTCTACAATTTCATCCTGAAATGCACTAATCTATCCAAGCTTCCACCAAACACCAAAAATTATAAACATTATCAGCACTATCGTACTAATATCTCTAGAGGAAACCTTCCGCTATCACGTATCACACCAAAAAATTTCAACAATCTATACGCTTCATTACCCTTAACAGCAATTTGCTATTGATTACCTCTAACCATCACACATTCACAACCAAAGCATCTCTAACGACATTCTTAATAGGCAAAAAGCCTACAACTTCATTCACATAACATATACGAAGTATACAACTGTACAATTTATATCACAATTCAACAACAATTTAAATAACAATTAAAATGGATAAAACTGCAACACTATAATCTATGAATGAAATTAACAGTAACAAATACCTCAGATATTGCTGGGGTACATCATAACCCTAATCTTGTCACCCTGCAAATGACTAAATCAGTAAAAAAAATTCGACTTTTCAAAAAAACTTTGAATCAAATAACAAAGAAAACAAATAAATATAGATTAACCATGGATTTAGGAGGAAGATTGGAGGTGAACTTAGCACGAACAACACCACTGTTACCATGTGGTCTGCAAACCTTGCCCCAAATGCAGCGATAGTGGGACCCATTCTTCTTAGTCTCAGCCTTGTAAATGTAAGCCAATCTCTTACCCAAATACCAGGCTACTTCTTCTTGAGTGTTAACTCCTTCAATCTGAACCAAAGAAGTGTTTGGGTACTGGTTCGACTTTGACCTAATTACATTACATAAAAATCAAAACCCAGATCAAATATTCAGAATTTGAGAAAATCAAACAATACCCAGTTGAAGATTTGAAGAGAGAAATCTGGGTTATTACCTCTTGTAGCCGAGGATTGATCCGCGGACATAGAGCCTGACGCGCTCACCTTGACGACCCTTCACCATTTTTGAGTTTTTCTGGCGGTTGAGCTTGAGATTGCAGGGAAGGGGAAAAGAGGCAGGGAGCTGAAAGATTAAGAGGAGACGAGCTAGGGTTTAATTAGGGTATTGGACTTTGATTTGGGCCTATTAGATGCTTGTAGGTTTATACATTTGGCCAATTTGGGTGTGCGAGTTACATAACCCATTTCTATGCATGTGTTGACTAATAAAGTACTCTCTCTTTCCTTTAATTTTTGCCCTCATTTGACTTTTCACGATTTTCAAGACGCGTCTTTAAATGTATGTATCTCTATTTTTATACACTAAAAAATTATAAAAATTTGATGTTAATAAAATATACAATGAGATGATTTCAACAAGATCTCACATGAATATATTATCACTTATAGATTAACGAGAATTTAGGGTCAAAATTTTAAAAGTTTGACCAAAAAATATGCTATGGGGCAAATAATAAGGGACGGAGGGAATAATGACTATCAACTTAGGGCAAAAAAATACAATGTCCCCTCTAGGTTTTCTCCTTGGGAGGGTTTTTTTTGGTTCCCTCTAGGGTTTCTCCCTTGGGAGGGTTTTTCCTAACCTCCATTGCTAGGTTTTTTAAAATTTTTTTTGAAGGTTTTCCGCCACTCTTCTCCATTTTCTCTCCATCTCTGCCATCCTTTTTTCCTCTTGATCTCAATTGTGAATCTTTTTAGGGGCTTCCACTGGTGTTCTTACAGGTGGTAAGCCCCAAAAAACCTTTTAATTGCTTTCAATAAATAGATCTCATCCTTGATCAAATGATGATTTTTCTCTTGAATTTATTTTCTTTTTATATTTGTATGGCGAGAATTGAATATTTAGGGTTTCATAATCTCTACAAGATTGCGGAGGACCACATGAGTATTTCACTCAAACGGCTACACATCAGTGGATTTCAAGCCGAATTAGTGCGAACTCACATATTGCATTGCTTCAGATGAAGTTTTTTTATAAAGGCATTTGTTGACCAAATCTAAGATATATTTAGTTTTAAGGTGTTATGTACTTGTATTGGAATTCTTGATTTCTTAGAAATTATATGTAAGTGTCGTGTGGCTACATTTTATTAATGAAATCCCTTTTCTTCTCGTAAAAAAAAAAAAAAAGACTATCAACTTAGGGCATAAATAGACTTTTCGGGTTTTTTTCAAGCTAGATTCGGATTTTTAACAAAAAAAACAATTAATTTTTAGTTTGTCCAAATCTGCCTATTTTTGGGCCGGGCTAGCGGATGGAATCATAATAGATCACGTCGTAAGAAGAAATGTTATGGTCGGTTACGTATAGTGTCTGACTATTTTGGGTTATTTTGTAGAATTATTGATAGGATTAGTGTGTCAATGTGTCATACAAATTGAATATGTAGAAGAAATTAAAAAAATTGAGGTTAATTCAACCGTTCAACTATACATCTATGCTCTTAATCTTAGTTTATTCTACAAAAAAATAAAATTTATTGACAATAGATTAGCATGATAACCTTTATACCACAAGTATTTCATAAGAAAAATATGAAAGTCATTTTTATCAACTACATTGTGTTTTTACTGTCTAGATTTTAGTCCCTTGGTTGACTTCCATGTATTGATGTACAGACATACTTCGTATTACATATTTGTATTAGCTCTAATTGTCAAGATAACTGTGGATGCCAACAAGCAAAAGGGGCTTTAGGTATCGTTGCATTTTTTTTTTTTCATTCAAAGCGCATTATTGTCATTTTTAGTTTTTTTATTTTAGTTTTTCCTCAAAATAGAACAAAACAGTGTGTCAAGATAGCTTTAAAAAACATCTTTACAACTTTTTCGGAGAAACTTAAAGACTAAAACCTCTTAAAGTAGTTTTATAGATTTTGTTTTAAAAAAATAGAAGCCAAAAACAATGCTCGTATCTTTGGTATGGAGGCTTCTCCTCTCTTTTTTCTTTTAATTTCCTTCGAAATCACAACCCGCACCCTTCTCTCCATTGCCCTTTCTACAGTGTTGATTTATTGATGTTTTGGTTGGTGATTTATTCCATTTTTTCCATTAAAACTATATATCTATGCTCTATTTTTTTTTTTTTATATAAATAATCAGATGATTAATTAATTTAGTGTAAAATATATTGCAAGCTATTATATCATGTTGTGAATTAAATTGATTGAATTTCTTATGTTAATATTAAGGGATTATTTGGTGAGTTTGGGTTTTCTTATTTTTTTTTTTTAATGGTTATATTTTTATGTCTTATTACTGTAAATTATATTCCGTATTGATTTTTTGTTTCAAATATATATTATATGTTCAACAAATTTTGTCTTTTAAATATTTGTATTGGGGGATTTCAAGTCAATTGTGGTTTGAAGGCTAAAAAGTTGTGTAATTGATCTTGCTAGGGATAGAAGGGGAGATCGTCAATACGAAGTCTTAATTTGCAGCACCGCATTTTTGTACGTGGTCGAGAACTCGAGGTAACTACATCATAACTTAAATTACTTTGGTAATTTGATTTTAATGGACCAAGGTAGTATTGAGGGTCTATTGGTATATTGTTTTCCAAGCACTTATATTGGATTTCCATTTGTAAAGTCAATCAAGAAAAATTGATCTTCATTTGTTCACGTATAGGGTGTTTGGTTACTTTACAATTGTGAGCCTTTAATACTACGTTATTGAACTTTGAATAAATACAAACGGAGAAAATAATATTAACTGATTCATGCATGTTCATATAACTTAAAAGTTGTATAAAGTTAAATGATGATCATTGTTAGGAAGGAAGATAATCAATAATATTTATCATCTTTAATTTTGAGGGATATTGATTATTGAATATTTAGCAATATTATATTCTAGCTTCATGAAATTTTGAAATGTCACTTAATTATATATTATAGTTTGATAAAAGAACTAGTCATGAGAAATATCAAACGAGAAACTGTGGTGCTACAAGAAGAATAACTATAGAATATGACAACAAAAATTAACACTTACTATACATGAAGGACCAAGAATATTTATTAATATGTAAATGCAATCGATTCCAATGAAATAAATCTATATATTGCCATCAATAAATTATACAAAGCAAACACTACTTGTACTCCATTCTCATATTACCAAAACCCTAGAAAGCAATTACAAAAGACAGTCAATTGACGGGAATTTTCGATTCTAGGCCTAGAAAAAAAATCATCGGGTGATAATCAAGAGTCAAGACTTATAAACAATTAAATATATTACGTAGTACCAAACTTTGTAGAAATATTACTCATCATTGGCTTAACCTTTTTAATGTGGGTAGAATGCATAAAATGAAAGAAGAAACGGAGGTAACGATGCCTTTGAAGCTCTTGGTAAACATGGAGGGGGATAAGGCAAAGGTTCTTTATGCGGAAGCTGGTAAAGACTTCGTAGATTTCCTCTTCAACGTCATGTCACTTCCATTAGGTACCCTTATGAAGCTCATCAAATCGAAAGACAACATGGCGGGTTGCCTAGGCGACCTTTACACAAGTATTGAGTCTCTCAATGGTGAATACTTGCAAGAAAATGTTGATAGAGACGCGGTGTTGAAGCCAAGAGGTTCTGTTAGTGTTCCTTTGTTGTCCATAAATAATGATGCCCTAGTTAATTCAGAGGATGAGGTTGAAAATCTAAGCAATGTTAGTGTTCCTTCTTTGTCCATAAATAATAATGATGCCCCAGTTAATTCTGAGGATGTTGAAAAACCATGCAATAAAACTGGTGCTGGATATGTGATGGGAGGAGTATTAACTTATATGGTAATGGATAATTTGGAAGTCAAACCTATGTCTACCTCTTCTGTTGTTACTCTTATGAAAAAGTTTCATGTCAAGGATGCTTCTTCATTGATCGAGAGGAATGTTCGAGTGGGTCTTAATCAGGTACTCATCCATATCCTTCAAAATTTGATTACAAATCTATAATTAATAATACTAAAACAACAGTCGCTGACATTATCATTGTCCACACGACAACTTTTCATCAATTCTTCATTTTTCATTATAAAATAAAATTATATTCAAAATATACTTATGATTCTACACTTTTCCACACACGTGCAGTTATGGCAAAACTTTTAATTTTAATTCCAAACACTCTCATCAATTGATCTTGCTTATTTAATTGATACTTCATTTATATATTCAGTACATTTTTGTTCAATAAACCTTCATCTATATCAAATTTGTTAAAAATTCGATGCACAAGTACTAATCTAGTTACAATATCATTTTAAATACTACCATCCTGTCCGTAATTATTTGTCACATTAGGAAAAAAAAAGTCATAACTAGAAATAGGGCATATAATTAATACTTATGAGGTCATTTATTTCTAAAATACGAAGTATGTTTTAAAGAGTTTTTGATTTTCGAACAGATGAAAAATGAAAGATTAAAGGGAAAAGTATCTAATGTATTCATTACGCACGCAGGGGGTAGCAATTTTGAAGGCATCCTTGGAGACTCGAGCTGTTTTGACCAATGTCTTCCTCGAATGTATTGACTTACACCCGAGTGCATCTAGAGGAAGATCTCGATGGCATTTTTTCAAATAAAAGTGACATGCATATTGTACATGGCAGTAAAACTTCGAAAAACAGGGTCTTCCTCTACACTTGCCACGTGAAATTTCTTGCAATTTATCATATATGGTCATATGGATCTTGTTTTAATATACTTTTTAAAATGAATTCAAATTATTTGATGTAAAAACAACAAAATTATAAAATATGTATTGAATATCATACAATAATTTATTTTGTATACATTATGAATGGAATATTGAAATTTATCAAAAATAATATAAACTCCATTTTTTTTAATCTTAAATAATCTATTTTAATTTTGCTTGTTGTCATCATATGTGTCGTATCAATGCATAATTGTCATCTGGTGGAATACTTGGCAAAAAGCTAAAATGCCAAATGTTGTCTAGTTCAATGGCGGACCTTCATGGGCCTAGCCCCTGGTACCAGCCAAAAAGAAAAAAATAAAAAATAGTTGAATAGGATGAGTATTGGAGTATTAGAAATAGCTTAGTTCATTGTTTCAAAAAAAAAAAAAAAAAAGAAATAGCTTAGTTTAAGAAATACATATAGAGGCCCAAATTTGCTTTAACTGTGTAATTGCTTTAACCGTATAATTCTACAATCCATAACACACTTCCTATCTACCTACCTCCCTTAGTGGCCTATTTTCTTTCTTTTTTTTTTTTCTATATTTTTTAATAAACCCTAGGTACTACACGGTTAAAGCAAGTTACTACTCCATAGTACTTATCAATTTACTTGGCAAGACTAGCACTACTACAGTACTAGTATTACTTTCGCACCAAATCAAAAATCTATAGGTAAATTTAAGAGCTTTACTGTGCTTGTTTTTGTTTAATTTATTGATGTTTGCAATTTCTAATTTTATAAATTTTGATTTTTTTGTTTTGTGTATTTTTGACGACATATTAACCTGATATTTGTATTTGTTATGAGTTTATATATTTGTGAGTAGTGACAAATAAATTTGATACAAAATAATAAATAAAGTTAATTTATTATAAATTTCAGATTAACTATGAACAAACTGAAATTAATTACCTCTTTTTTTAAGAGGAAAGCGATACAACCCCAACCAATGAAGAATAATATTATTTGTTTTTATTACTCAAATTCTATACTTTAATTTGTATTTTGCATTTATATGTAACTATGTAACACATCTAGTTTTGATTGGCCCTCTAAAGAATTTTTTTTAAAGATCCGTCACTGGTCTGGCTAAAAGTTCACCTTTATTTTGAAATAGAGGGAGTATTGTTTATAACTACTAAAAGTAACCAAAATTTGTCAAATTACTCGAATGCTACTCGTTACCTTTAAAATGCTAATATTTTAACGTTTGAGAAAAGCTACTCAAACGCTACCTTATCAAACATTCTTATTTATTCGTAGTAGTCTTTTGACTTGGTTAAAACTCTAACCAGTATTTCAAACACAATCGCCGAATAGAGCCTAAGGGCGTGTTCGACACTAGCTTTTGAATAATTTTGAGGGGTTTGACAAAGTCAAATTCAATACTTAATAAAAAAAATATAATCGTTTGCTTTGGGCAGCTTTTAGTGGTGGAGGTAGCTTTTATCAAAAGCTAATAATATTATCTTTTGAAAAGTGAAGGTAGCTGTTGAAAATTTATTATGTACTTTTAGGAAAAATTGTTAATTTATATTCCATTCGTCTTATAATATATGTCTCTTTGGGTTTTTACGTGAAAATTAAGAAAGTTGAGAATTCCTTAAAATTAATGTTTAAAAGTAGATATGTGCATTTGGGGTTAGAGAGAGATAAAGAGAAAGAAAAAGTAGTTAGAAATAATTAAAGAGATAGAGAGAAAAAGTGTTGGAAATTGATGTTAAAAGTAAAAAAAAAAAAAAAAAAAAAAAAAAGAAAAAAGTATGACAATTCATCAAAAAGAGGGTAATAATGTCAAAAAAATACAACCTTTAAATAAAAAGAAGCATTGTATTTTAGTTTACCTGAAAACGAAAAGAAACATTGTATATAAGATGGAGGGAGTATATGTCAACACACAACAACTACATACCAAACATTCATATTTTAATTATCTATATATCTTCACAGCTAACATCTTATCGATAGCTAATAGCTACTTGCATAACTAATTGCTACTATCACAACTAACCGCTACCTCTACATCTATATTTTGTAAAATTCATCCTAATCTATAATGACAATAAGCTACTCCGTAAAAACTACTCCGTACTGATTGCAAAGGTGCAGTGTGTCCAAAGTGTGGGGGTAAGAAGCGCATTAAGCTCAAGTATTTCCGGAACACGGGTTCAGAGACTATTACACCGTCGTCAAGTAATGGAAGCAGTGGTGGGTATGTGAAGGGAGTGGTGACTTATATGGTGATGGATGATTTGCAGGTTACGCCGATGTCTACCATTTCTGGTAGAACTCTTATTTCTAAGTTCCGTGTTAAGGATGTCTCTGCATTGGAGGAGAAAGAGGTCCGAGTTGGCCTTAATGAGGTAACAATGAAATTTCAAAGTTAATTTTGTTATGTTTTAATTTTTTCCAGGGGTTAGCTATGCTGAAAGCTTCCTTGGAGACGAACACAGTGCTCACCACTGTCTTCATTCCTTAATGCATAGAAGATGTACAACCTTAATTAGCCAGCACTACTGACGTCACTCGAAGCAGGACTGTTTTGTTAATTATATTGTTGCCTAAGAACTTGCCTTTTGGATTATCTGCTGATGTTTATGTTTTCTTGTTTGGTGAATCATTAGTATGAAATTCTGAATGCTTGACCCTCTTTTGATTATATATGTTTGGGTCCAATTTAGCCAAAATTGGGCCTGAGCACTAAATGATCCAATTAAAAGCCCAAGGTCAAGGTTCAACTCTCCAATTGCTCAAAAGTCAAAGGTCAGCCCACTAAGTAAGCCAATTGGGCTAAAGCCCAACCTCTCCATGTATGATGAGGTATAAAAGCCATCATATTGACACATTGACAAAAAGATTCGGATGCTCATTCTTGCATTCAGAAATATTCCACAAAAGCCTCAAGCTACAAACTCTCTTGCATAGTGTCTTCCTTTTACACATTGTACTGACTTTAGCATCGGAGGGGCCTTCCTCGGAAACACCCCCGAGGCTAGTTTACGTGTGTTCACTGTGCAGGAAACCTTCGGCCCAACACAACTTGGATCGAATCCAGTCTTCTCCATTTCAGCGGACCTTCGGCAAGGTCCCATTGTTTTCAACCGAAACAATTTGGCGCCGTCTGTGGGGAAGACTTTCAAAAATCTTTAAGCCAAATTCCTAACCAAGATCATCTTGCAATTATCTTAGCAGCCATGGCTAAGAACCGCAAGAGCAAAAGCCTCCGTCAAGGAGCGGGCGAAAAGCCTAAAACCCCTACACCATCGCCCTCGCCGAACCGGAACTCTCCCAAGGGTGCCGGCTCGGGGGGAGGATCATACAAGGAGGATTCCCTATCTCCTACAATGCATGACTCTCAATATAGGCCGGACCACTCTCGGTCTAGCAGGGGTCAGTCTGATCATAGGACATATTCAGTGTCCCAAAGCCAACCATCGGCTGCACGACCTCATTCCCACACTCGGCCGGGGACCCCTTTGACGGGGCCCAGTTCGGAAGAGGTGGCAAGAGCGCTGGCAGTACTCATGGAGGCAATGAGGGCACAGAATATGCCATCGCCTCGTGATCGAACTCCTCCGCATACCCGGCATCAGCGGAGGAAGTTAGACCATGACGGTGGGAAGCTTCCTTCCTTCCGGGAACTGGAAGAGTGGGAGGAGGATTCTTGGAAAAATGAAAAACAGAGGAAAAAGAACTCTCAATTATTTAAAGGATCCTCATCCTCAAGACCAGCAGCGCATAAGAGCAGCAGCTCAGCTTCTCGGCCAGAATCTACTCGCCGGGAACCTGAGACTGCTCGCAGAAGCGTCCTTGACCGACTCGGCGGCCAGGAACCGAGCGTGCGTAGTCGCCTCTCGTTCCCTGCAGCCGAGGCCCAGACTTCCCAGCCAGGGACGAAAACCACTCCTACCTCTCTAAGAGGGCGGAGCGCGGTCCCTTCGGCCAGGAACAAGGGCAAGGCCATTATGCTACCCGCTAGTTCACCATTCGAGCAATGGATACTGGAAGAGCGCGTACCCACGGTTAAAATACCGTCGCATATCACATATGACGGGACCACGGATCCGAAGGACCACGTGGCCTCGTATGAGACTCATATGCATCTTTGCCCCAGATCCGAGGCGACTTGGTGCAAATATTTCCCAACCACTCTCAAGGGGGTCGCGCAAGCGTGGATCTCCAAGGGAGTAAGGCAAGGCTCCATAACAGGTTGGGATGATCTGTCCTCCAAGTTCAGGAGCAAGTTTTCCACGGCAAACCGCCGAGAGAAGACTACCGCAGAGCTCATGAGTCTGCAACAGGGGGAAACCGAAAGCCTCCGAGACTACCTGACCCGTTTCAGTAACGAGTCATCAAGCGTCTCCCAGCTGGACCAGGGGCTAGCTGTTTTTGCAATGCAGAATGGCCTTCAGCCAGGAAAATTCCTAGACTTCATGGTCATGCATACCCCGCAGACCTTGGAGGAAGCTCTTAGTGCTTCGGATAAGTTCATCCGAGCCGAAGAATGGAATAAAGCTAAAACCCAACCTCAATCCGGGGGAGGGAAACAGAGGCAAATACCCTTGTCTGAAGGCCAAGGCCATAAGGCAAAGGGAAAATCAAAGGCTCCAGAGCCATCTCCGGCCAACGACCTAAAGAAGGACAGGTTTGCCTCATACACAGGCAGATACGAGTCCTACACTCCGCTCTCTCTTCCACGTGCCAAAATTTACAGTGTGACGAAGGAGGAGCAGAGTTACCGAAAGCCGAGACCACTCCCAGAGTGGTATCAGCGAAAAAATAAAAATCAGTGGTGTGAGTTCCACGAGTCTTCGGGCCACAACACTGAGGAGTGTATCCAGCTGAAGGACCAGATAGAGGACATGGTCCGGAAGGGATACTTGAAAAAATACATCGCGGATCACCGCGAGAAAAAAGAATCCGAGAGGCTAGCAAAGGACCCTCGGCAGGACCTTGATTTCCCCCGGAAAAACAGTAAAAAACCGGAGGGGAAATTCCCTCCGATCAATGTTATCTCGGGAGGAATATACTCTCGGAGGGAGCACAAGCGTCACCTTAGAGCTTTGACTCACCAGGTGAACAACGCTGACATTCAATCTCCCCAGTCGCCGGTGCCGAACATGACGTTCACAGCCGCCGACTGCCGGGGGATTACGTTCCCTCACGAGGATCCGTTGGTGATCATCGCCACGGTGGCCAACCACGACGTCAGTAAGGTCCTTGTTGACGGTGGCAGCGGAGCAAACATTCTGTTCCGAAAGGCCTACAACCAAATTAAGCTGAAGCCCAAGCACCTTACGCCGGTACCCTATCCGGTATCCGGGTTCAATGGGGCTTCAACTTATCCAGATGGGAAGGTGACACTTCCTGTCACCATCGGTTGCGATGAGGCAGCCCGGAACGTCATGATTGAGTTTTTGGTCATCGACGCTCCTTCAGTGTACAACGTGATTTTGGGGAGACCCATAATTCACGAGATCCAAGGGGTCGTCTCAACTTATCATCAGCTGATGATTTACGTCTCAGACGCCGGCTTCCCCGAAAGGATACAGGGCAACCAAAAGGACGCCCGAAGGTGCAACTACCTCAAGCCATCCAATAGTCGCCCAGATAACGACAAGGATGAGGAGGAGAAAGAAAAAGAAAGAGAGCCAAGCGCAAAAAAGCCAAAAGGCCTAAGTGCTTCGGCCCAAGGATCCGTGCCCAGAGAAAAAGGTCCCGAAAGGGAAAA